AAGCCATTATTTATTTATTGGTGCAAGTACATCATGTATATAAATTGGATTATACATATTCGGTTGTATCAAATATGTTGGACGTTTTGTTCAAATTTTGCTTCTGATTCTCTATTCATTACGAACGACATAGCTATTTTATTTTTAATGTACTTGCTTTCTTATAATGATTTATTTATTACTCATGCCATTAATTTATATTTGTTGTCATTATTAATTGTGAGGCAAAAAGATATAAATATTTATACTCCTTATTCTTCTTTTAAATGTTTTTCTATTTATTTTCCTTTTATCATATATTATAGTGTATAACATGTATGTTTATAATAGTTTAATACGTTATTTGTATTAATATAGTATTTGCAAAATTATGATTATAGAAATTGTAATGGCATTTTATAATAGTATATAAAACATTATAAGTAAAGTAAATAACAAAATTAGAATAATAATTTGCAATCATATGATTATTACAGTTAATCATTTATAATAATACTTAATAACTGAATGTTTTACGTAACACATTATATAAATTATATTTACATAAAAAATGATAATAAAGTTTAATAAACCCCATGTACATGTATGTGTAATAAAATAATATAAATACTAAAACAAATAATTATAGATACTTGTTAAGAACAGCTATTTTTTCAATGTTTTTTCGTATAAATTGTAAGAAGCTGCTGAGTCTTCTTTAAATTTTGTTTTTATAGTTGGATCTCTGCTAGTATTATCATTCTTATCATTTGAACTGCTTTCCTTACATTTATATGTGGAATGGTTTAAAGAAGTCAGAAATAAACAGAGAAATTAATTTCAATTTTGCACATTACACTCCGTATGGGACCAAAACTGTCGTTTGAAGATTTAAGTAATCATACATTTATAAGTAATTAAGTGTATAACATTTATTTAATTTTCCGATGTAACATTGCAGTTTTATTTAGCCACATATAAAATTTTAGAGCAAATATTATCAACGATCTATACCGCTGTTTGCGTGAGTAAGTCGTGTGCATCAGGATGAGGAGTTTAATTTATGCGTTCATTTGTGCAAGATCGTTGAACTGTGACCGCCGAGGCGCGACAGCAATCGCGAGGCCATATTTATATGGAAATTCCGACACGCTGCTTTTGAGAACAGAATAATGCAGGCGCAGCCTCGACACAAACTGTGAATGTCGAGGTGCAATTTATTCGAATGATAAAAAAGAGAATAATGTCGCAAGATCTATCCGTCGCCATATAAACATCCGTGTTAAATAAATGCAACTCACGTGGATGATTGACAAATCGACGCTATTGACGTTCTAAAAGTAGTGATCTCAATTTCGAAATTCAACATCGAACTTACATAGACTTGTGTCTCTTTCTTAGTGTATAAAGATATTATTGCATAAAATTAAATAAGTGAAAGTGATTTGTAAATACAAATACGCGAATTATATACAATGTATGTATTCTTCATACCGTGTATAGCGTCGAATAAACATGTATACAATCTTACATCGTTCTTCCAATACGCTCTAGTTATCATTTGCGCGCGGAATGTTTGCTCGAACCGTCGAATTCGTGCGATCGTATTTTCGCACAATAAAACGCGTTGTTTCATTTCGTTTCACCGTTGCCTCCGGAAACCGAATGAATCCGCAGAATCGGAGGCGCGGCATCGTAATAATGGAGGCAACGACCGAGTCGTGCGACCGTAGTCCCGATTTTTCCATCGACAATGGAATTTCCTGGATGACTGACGGCTCAGTCGCCGACCGATTCGCAGAGCGATCATCCGTGAATTCCCTCGCTCCTTTGCATTCCACAGTAACAACACGGTTCGCAGATGCACGACTCCTCCGTGTGCGCGTATATTACGCAAAACGAAGGGAGGCGCGCGCGCGCAAGATAAGAGCAATATATTTCAGAATATCCGGTCTTTGATGTACAAAAATTGATCTGTCATGTTTTCCACGACCTTTGTCCTTTCCTGTATCGTGAATTTCTCTTGCGAGATATTCATCCTATGAATATATTTCTTCTAAACCATTCAAAGCTACGATCCAACTGTAAACTGATGATTATTTATAAATTCTGTGATGTCTCTCATTTTTATCACTTTTTTTTTGTATAATGAGTTTTTCTCACGGTTTACATTATATTTTATGTCTCCACAAATTTTCATGTAAGAACGAAATACTAATTTACTGTATTTAATGTTTTTAAAATTAACATTATGTAAAAATTATAATAAATAATATTACAATATTATACTATATATATATAAATATTAGTGATATTAGTCTTAAATTTATGTATAATTAATAGAACTTGAGATAAAGTTAGAAAAAGATTTAAAGAATTTCTGTTTAAAAGTAAATTCAAAGAATATATTTATAATTTAACTGATGCAAAATATAGAATTGAAATGTAATACAATTAAAATACGATTTTGATAAAACGTATTATCAGGAAAATATATCAAATTTGTATCCTTTAATCATTTTGTATATTTAAGCAGTATATTAATTTTCTACAAAAACACAATTAATCATATTTATATATTCATAATTTCTATATAATAATACGCATAAATTTTTATCTGAATCACCATTGCAAATAAAATCATACTTTCTTCACATATTTTTTACAAGATACGAAGTATATCTTGCGCGGCTTTTCTAAAAAAAATTGACGTATTCTATTTTAAGAAACCTTGAGCGCCCGATTTGAAATGGTTAAAGATTTAATAATTGCATAAAATGTCATTGTAAATCGAAGGTAGATCACACAGGGACGTACATGCAAGTTCTATTACGTAATCGCATAATTTCCTAACCACGTTAGTGCATCACGTTGCAAGTCTACCGAACAGAAGACAGCGTATGGATCTGTTCGCTTCAGTAGCTTATGCACGTAACGTGCAGCAATCGAAGGGTTAAATGTAATTTACCTTCGACGGGAACCTAGAGGAAACTTCATGGTACGTTCACGCAGCTTCAGTCATGTGATGTGTCGCGGATAATGCACAGATGCACAGTGGTTCTCAGAATACCTCGCAGAATACAGATTCTTAGAATATAAATCGCAAAGCGGTGATTATATTATAGTAATATAATAGTAATGCTGAGGAAAAGACCTCGCTCCATCTTTATTCACAAAATACCTTAAAATTTAATTTAATCGATATCCAGAAACCAAGAACATCGTAAAATGCGAATCTGATAAATATTTCACCCCATATGTTTTATGTGAACATATACACATGCATACAACGGACACTGTATTATTGACGAAGGAAGTGCTTAATTAAGCTCGCCATCGTGGAAAACTAAAGTTGCTCTGTTAGTAATTGGATATTAATTATTATCTCGAAACTGCTTAGTTTCAGCTCCTTGGCTTGTATAGCTTTTGGGTCTACTTAGTACTTACAACGTTATACTTGACTATATCCGTAACCTGATCAATTAGATAAATTTATTGCTTATATTTTATACTGTTAAAGAAAACGAGAAAATCCGGCAAATATAATCTATGTAGATTGAGGCAAGTTTAATAACAATGTAATTTTAATAAATTAAGTTTATTAAAAACATCACAGAATCACGTAGTTTATGAAAAATTTAAGATAATATAAATTATGTTAGATTTTCATTGTATTTTTTTTAATCTTATGATTTCCCTAGAGATTTTAAAAAACTGTTTTCTCGTTGATAACTTCTGTGTTGCAATATACCATCGATATATTTCTATGAATACTACATGCACCACTTTGACCACAATATCACCACTATTCCTATAGTGCGACTCTTTTCGGATATCAATAAAAAATTTGTCACCAATCTTTTTGATAGAAGCATCAATAAAAGAACAAAAAAGGGGATTTTTTTTCATAATAATATCTTGGTGTATTATTTTATATGTATTATACAAACGCGTAAAAATATAACTAAAACGTCACGGTATGTGAAAAAAAAAAACTATAAGTGCATGATCAAAATAAAAATTTCATGGAAACGATATTTTGTAGTTCTCAGATTTCTTTACAGAAAAAAAGCAATCTCGCGTACAATCGTACAATCTCTCATTTCTTTTCTCTTCTTTTCCATTGCAGTTTTTAATTTCTCTAATCCGTCAAAGTACCTTTCAAATGCATGTATTAACAGATTAGCTACTAAGAGAATTCTATTCTTTTTATTATCTGCATTTGAAACAAGACAAATATGCTATACGTTTACGCATAGAAGATCGAGAAAAAGAGATAATGAAAAATGTATAAAGCGCAGCTGAAAAACAAATGCATAATATAATGTACTATACAATAAATGAAAAGTTTTCCATACGTCCGTGTTTCTCCGACTAAACTCTGATTAACTCAATCGTTGATTAATCGACAAAATTACAATTTTTGATTAAATTTCTAAGTACATAATTTATTTTTCATATATCTCTTTGTTTCTCTCTTAAACAGTGACTTTAAAAGTGATCATAATTAAAAAAAAACATGATTTTCAAGTTTTTATTATATACAAATTATGTAATTATCCTATGAATTATCAATTATCAAAAGTATAAACGAATATTTAATTTTATAAAAAATCGTTACAATTAGAAAAAGATTCTTAAGAGTTGTGAAACGAAAAATGAGAAAACTGACATTTATATTGTATTAAAAATATATTCTTTATGCCGATATATTATTTGATTGATAAAAACTTATTTGATTAAAAGAAATTATCACAACACGCGATTTTTTGTCAAGTTAAAAAATATTGCAGTTTTTCTTTTTTTTAGAAACTATTAATTTTTTTAATTATTTAAAGGAGCGATTTATATCAGAAAATTATTAGATTATTAATTAATTATTAATCTCCTATTTTTGTTAATAACATATTATAGACAGTATTTAATGAGATAATCGGAAGTTGTGTACAGTTTATAACAGTCTATATACAGATTCTATAGTACAATCCTATGTATGCGATCAGATGATTTTTCATTGCAAGATGGCCGCCAAGGCAACGGGTAAGACCGCGTTACGATATTTTCTGGGAACATGTGTGCCTTCGTCGAAGCAAAATGCCGCCAAAGTGAGAGTATCGCGATTACAATTTGATGATTACATTCATATGGTTAGTATACATATGTGTATTTTAAATGTACTATATAATATTTACTTAGATTTCTAGTTGAGGTTATATTTCTTCGTATTCAACAGTATTTTAAGGAAAACGAATTTGTTTATGCCAATGATCCGAAAAAGTTATGCAAACAGGGTGATGTGATTTTGATACAGACATTACCACAGAAATTAACGCGTCTTATCACACACGAGGTATGTATTGTCCTGTATAGCTATCTTTATTTATTGTTGTGCTGCTATATAAGAAGAGGATTATAGATTTGAATAAATAAAATTTGAGGAATGATTTCATATTTTTACTAAATCAAAATCTATATAGGTTATCGAAGTGATATATCCTCTAGGCGATAGAGTAGATCCTGTCACAGGAAAAAAAATTGTTGGAACTAGATATAGGTATATATACTGTTCAAAATTCACAAGACTACCTCGGAACATTTACAAGTGTATTAAAAAATCTTTATTTTATATTTCTTTGTAAAATTAGGGAAGAAATAGAAGAGTTGACTAAAATATATGGCAAAAGAGACTCAACCTTTGATTACTCAAAAGCACCACGAAGAGGAAGACTGGAAGGTACGCGAGACTTTACTCATAAGAAGATGTATCTGAAATACTACGATAATCCTGATGACCCACAACCAGATAGTATTCCACTAACATAAAAAATATTAAAAACTATTGTATTGAGAAATTTGATAATAAATTATAAATATTCAATAAAGAATAAACTGTAAATTGTAAGTACTACAAGTTTTTATTTTCAAATTTTCTAATACATTCTAGGATCTCGATACAAAAGCTTGGTTGGAATCATCAACGTTAATGCGATAGCTCTAAAAATATTAGAAAATAAATTTCATATTTTCTAATTATATTTATATATATACATAAAGATAAAATCGATTTCGACATATTCTCGCACGAGAAAAAAATCTCGCAAATATATTCAATGGCACATGTGTTATTCACAGTGCTACAATACTATTCACAAATTATTTTCGAAGATCAATATTACAATTAATTATACTTTTAAATATGTGTAAAATTTAAAATTCAATAGAGATCTATTATTCAGTATTACAGAGAATTTTTTTCCATTTTTAAAAAGATTCTTATTTCACGAATTAGCCCTATTTCAATTTTCTATTCTTTCGAAATCTTCAATATTTTTATAATATCTTGCTAACTTCATCAGAGTATACAAATAATGTAACGTTTTATTATCAATAACCCTGCCTCAGCTATCAAACTCGAAATTTATGATTAAGATAAAACATCCTGAGTTAATCATTCAAAAGAATTACTTATGTTCAAATACATATCACTCAGAAAGGAATTCCCTTTCAAGTGCAGCACCCAATGCATTCCATTCTCTGTCATCTTCGTTATCTTCTTCGAAGTCGTCCACAGAGTCTTGTGAATTATCACCTAGATCTAAATCATCAGGTAATTCTTCTCCTCTTCTAAAACGTGCAACAAGATCTTCATCACTGTCGTTATTGTCATCGTCTTCACTGTCATAGTTGTCTACATCCTCGGAAAAACCTTGATCATTGTTGCCGTTGTAAACCTTTCTTTTTTTTCTTTTTGAAACTCCCAATTCACTTGTATCTGTAACATAAGAAAAACATTTAATTTATAAATATAAAATTACAGTAAAAAAAATATTTTCTTTAATATATACATATATATTGAAATATGTTTTAAATAACTTATAATTATATATTAGAAAAAAAATCAAAGATAAATAATAGCTCAATATTAAGAGCTGAAAAGATATTTTATTCTGATGGAAATAAAGTCTGTGAAATATGAAATTTAATCCCACAATGATAAATCATATACTATATGTATAACATTCTATACAATAATAAATCATAGTACTGTGTCATGCCTTAGAACATAGAAACTTTTAAACAAATTTTTAATAACTAGTTCCTTTCCAGGATGAGCAAAAAGTTTACAATTCCTTTTTCTATAAAAATTGTAATTGTAATAAAAACAATTTAAAACTTTAGCCCACCTAGACTTTACCGTAATAAAATAATGCATACAATTACAGGCAGAATTCAAACTGCATATTATATCATAGATCACTTTAAAATGAACTTTACCATTCATAGAATCTTCAGAATCGGAGCTCCGACGACGTGTCTTTGTACCGCATTCTTCCATATCATCTTCCTCGTCTTCGAAAACCATATCTTCCATATCCTCATTTACCTCTTTATCCATAAATTCGATCTCCTCTTGAGTGAATGACATTAATGGATTAATAGAATTGGCAAAGGAATTTGTTTTATCGCTTTCTACATCCTCAACGCGTTCCGGACTACTACAATGTGGTGGTGGCACTCTTGATCCGCGTGCCTACAATACTTCATGTTTATTATTAATGTCGATACAATGTACGTTTGAATCAATTTAATCATAAAAGTAATTATTTAAATAATATAACTTGACATTGCAAAATTGTGGCATTTATACCTGCGATGTTAGAGGAAACAAGCGTTCATCCACGTGTTCCCAGCGTTCCGCGCACGTCCATAACCAATCTGAATTTACGATTTTAATATTTGTATCTTTTCTAGCTGTGTTTGCTTTTGCTGTACCTTTTCTAATAGCAACTAAATGCGTAGTTTTCTCCGTTAGATCCTGGAAAAATCCTGTTGTTATTTACAGAAATACAACAAATTATTATAAAAATAACAAATATACAAAGGCGTTACTTGAGTCACTTCCGCTCCAAACGCTCTCGCGACCTTGTATGCACGGCTTTGGTGAAGTTTTTGATGAGTGGGTATCAAGCCACTGAAAGTTAAGTATAATCCTTTCAAAACTTGTGAGCGTACCCGTGGAATTATATCCCGCAAAGACTTTCGAGTATTCCCTTGATCCAAAGTAGCGTAAAACTCTGTATGAATTCTCCGAAGAATATCTTCCAGATATAGTAGATAATCATCATCATCATCGTCTATTATACTATTCTCCTGCCTTGATCCTGCTTGCTTACTGTTTTTATTCGTTTCTACAGATGGTGCAATGTTCGTTATTTCCTTTTTATCGTTTTCTTTCGCAGTATTAGCTCGAACATTAGATTCTGCATCCTTGTCAGTATTCACTTTATTATCTTCGTCTTTTTCATTCTTGTTTTCCATCTCATCCTTTTTTTCATTTTTCTCTTCATGATTTGTTTCTTTCACAGAGGGATTGTTTAACGGCTTTTCGGCTTCATTCGATAATTCAGATGGATCATTCTTGCTATCCTTATTTTGCAAATTTGTACAGGATTCATTCGTACTCGTCGGCTCCGTCGAACATAATACTTCAGCCTTTTCCAAACCTGGTGGTGCATTAATATCGCCAGTGTGGCGGAAAAAATGATAAGGTTTGACCTGAACCAGATTTCCACACCCTTGCCATACGTCTTCTCTATCATCTATGATACATACTAAGTCATCACCGCATGGAAACAAAGCTCTGCAATAAATAAGATACAGAATTCATCTCAAAATATTTACTTTTAATAATGTTACGTAAAATTTAAGATAGTAATTTGTAAGTACTTGAGATTTGCAGTTTTTGATGCTGGATCAAAACATTCGTCTCTCGAAAGTATCCTGTGAGAGAACAGAACTCCATCCTTATCTAGTAAAGATGCAACAGTGTGCGCATAAATTCTTGCTCCAAAAGTGCAAATATGCAATTCGTATAAACGACTCATTTCCGAGAGGAAATGCCGGGTGTTCGGTCTTAATCTGGTGTGGTACCATGGAGAGTTCGGCCCATACAGTTGAAAATGGAAAACATCCTTTGAAAAGAAATATTTGATTGATATGCACTAATGCTCGCGAATTCTATATCGCTAATTTTCATAGAGAATTATGAAAGCATAATAAAATGTACGCATACTCTCAAATTAGGTGGAATATTATCATTTGTGGTATGAACGATTGTTTGATCGAGATCCACAAGTAGCACTAATTTTCGGTCTGTTAAAAGACGTTGCTCATCTTCTTTTCCAATTTTCTCTGCTAATTCCGGACATACTTTTAATTCTGGTATGCTGTGTACCATAGGCACACTGGCTTGAGATACTCCAATTGTATTTCCGTCTTTGTTGGTTTCTTGCACCCTCAGATCTGCCCCGCATTCTGCACACAAGTCTATCATCACAGTGGGATGTGTACATCCTTCCAGTAGAAGTATCACTTGCCTGGAACACTAATTGACTATGCAGACATCACAAAATTCAAGTATATTTTAAATAGGCTACACAATATAAAACCATTTCAATTAAAGTGTTTATATATATTATATAAAATCCTTATTTCACTCAATTCTTAGCACACACAATGATTTTCTAGTCTTTTATTATACACATTTGTTTTCCGTATTACGTTTTATCACATTTACAAAAATTCAAAGATTATTAAGTGATTCTTATATATATATTTTAACATTTGCAGAATGTATTGTATATGTAAAGTTGTGCATTACAAAAAGGAAAGAAGAGAAATTATTATTTAAGTAAATAAATAGCTCAAAGAAAAAAATAAACAAGATACAAATGACTCAATTGTATGTACCAAGACTCAAGTCTATTCTATAATAACGTAATAGAATATCGCAACATATTAATTAAAAGCCCCAAGTATTTGTTTTAAAAGAATATACAGATTATTTTCAACTTTCTTCTATTTTAAGAAACGAAATAGAAGACACTCTTTATAATCTTATTTTGTTAAGGTTTGAAGATCCATCAGTTTACAATACAGATGCAATGTGTCAAGTTTAATAGGACCTTTGAATCTTCGCAAAATCCTCTAATGCAAGGTAACAATAAAGTTATGCGTATTTCTTGTTTGAAGATGTTCGAAATTGGCAGTTCTGCAGATTTTTGAATGCGATGACGCGTGCTACGAGATTTCACGTAACTACTATTCGCTACCGTTCCAAATGAGAATTATGGGCAGGATACATACCCAGGCTGCACAACGTCACCCTCATTGGCCAGGAACTGCTTGACACGGCCAAAATTTGAGGCCCGCAGCTTCTTCTCAGGCTTCTTGATCTCTTCGTCGTCGGCAGTTGGCGTCACGTCCTGGTACACCAACAATATTCTGCCCGCTGCGACCATTGTGTCCGAGCGTACCTTCCATTTCAGAATTTTCCCGGGCGGTCTGTCTGACGGGAATGTGACCAGATGTGATGCGATTTTCAACCCGCTTGCAGCACTCGACGATAGCGCCATCTGTCGGCGGCCTGGCGCAACTGGTAGCACACACACACAAGCAAGCTCTTCTTCTTCTTCGCTTCCTTAAATAATGGCTCCCGCCTTCAAGCGATGAAATAGGAGGTCGATACGGCCAGATCACGTCTTGAAAGTAAACCGTACGAAAATATGACAACGAACGGGTGATGCAATGCCCGCGAAAATGGCGTTGCTCGACCGGTTTCCGGGCGCCTGCGTCTACGGCGTCGTCACGTCGCAATAACGCGCGTCATAAGAGCCCTAGTCGTCGAAAAGTGCAAAATGACGAACGATCGAGACGAGCACATCCGCGGACACGCATCTGTGTGACGCAATGCACAGTCAAAGTCGGAAACACTTTCAAAAATATACAATGGAAAACACCCGGACCGAAACACGTCCGTCACCGTCACGGTCGAATGGTTCGTCGGAACTCATAAGCAAAGCACGTGTATGTACACTCGAGACTCGACATATGCACGTAAAAAGAGGAAGGAGGAAGGGAGACGCGTGATCAAATGTGATTGGCGAAGGTCTGTCTTAGCGATCGTCAGATCGTGTGGATTTGAAAGATAAATGCAGCAGATGCATTAAATTTTTTATAATCGAACGTAGAAAACGATGCCAACGAATAAGTTGATTGAAGTGAATTGACAATACCACGTTAATTACAGGATATAATTAACATCTATATTATTTTATATATTGATATATATACATATAATGTAATTATTTATTGTATTTGTATTAAATTTAGCACAATGTCTTTTTGAGTTACCTAAAAAAACATTACACATAATTGTAGATCATATTTTGAGTGATGCATTATTTTTTTCGATTTAGAACTCGGTTGATATATAAAGAATAAGACGATTATTTAATTAATACTTTGACGAGTTGTACCTTTAATTCTTTAGCAACTATTATTATGTGTTAGTTATTTGATTATTATGAATTTGTTAATACCAATTTTTAAATAGTTTATCAATACATATTTTAAGATACAAATAATTATTATTTAATGCCTGTATTCAGATTGTTAATATTGTTTATTTTAATATGTAAAATCCTTTATAACTTTCAATAGTTTATAAAACAACTTTTCTAATAGTTCATAAATACATTCTGTAAGATATATATACCTCAAGATAATAATTTAATTTGAGTTCCACACACTTGAATTACAATTACAAATTGTGTTACATTATCGATATCAAAATTCCTCTCAAAATTCGTTTATTAATTATTTCACATTTCCAAATAATTTATAATTTCAGCTCAGATCCTTCAATTAATTGTTATTTATTTTATCACATTAAAATATTTTATTAAACTTATACGGATTTATTGTTTTTCACATGCAAATATTTTATTAGTACTCTCTATCTTTATAATTATTAAGTTCTTACATAATAATATTTCTTCAATAATATATACATGCTGCTTAAAGACATCATAAAAATGTTTTAAAAATATGCGTATTGTCTCTCTTTAATTTTTTATTTTTTATATTAACTTTTATTATTTCATTTTTAATCATTAATTTTGTTAATATATGATAAGATTATTTTAAATCTATAAGAATATCGCTTCGTCTATTAGAAGATTGAAACAGATAATTGCAGTTTCACCAAAAAGTTGCAAAATATGACACAAACGGAAAGGCAATTCGTAAAAATATACTGCGGTAACCAATCATATATCGAAGTATATCGTGCCGCATTCGAAGCGCTCGAATTCGAAGTTTTCGTCTTGAAACGGTTACAAACGGTCTTTTAAGACTTTTACCGCATGGTCGGAGGTCTGTTGACGTTCACGCGGTTGATATGACAAATGCTCGCGTCCACAATCAAGAAATAGCATATAGAGTGATCTCACATTACTTTTCGAACGTTTATTAGCCATGAGCGGTCTTGGATTCCTCTAGAACCTAAAATTAACAAGATGTCAGGAAGTATTAGTACCGCTACACCTACTACGGACAGCCGAGACAGCGTGAGGCCTACGTCTACGGACAGCCGAGTTGGCGCGATGCATATCCCGCGAACACCTCGAATGCGTCAACGACAACGATTCGATCTAAGTACGTGGCCAGAAGAAGATGAAATCGATGGATTGGAGGGTAAACAACATACACTTTCTTATCTAAGAAGGAAAATCGAAAGAATATTTGAAACGCTTGGAATTGATGTGTCATAAAAATTTCTTGTGCTAATAATTCCCGAGATGTAGTTGAATGCAGTTTGATTTTACGTTAATCAACCATTCGGCTCAAATGTTTAAAAAATATATAATATAGAATGGCTCAAATAATACAAATTGAATAAAAGTTTTGAGAAGGGCTTTGAGCCAAAGATAATAGATTTAATGTTCAAAAATAAAAGTTAAAATGACAATATAAACAAAGTTAAATACAGACATTTTGATTCCAATCGGGTCATTATCAATGTTAAATATATAATAATTTAGACGGTTAAGTGAAAAAAAATAAAAGGAAAAATTCTTATTTATCTATCTTAAATATTTAACATCTCTTTATTTGAATACAATGTTTTAATTTTATACGAATAACTTAACCTTACAGAATTAGTAGCCCAAACATGGAACATTTATGCAGTCTCTACTCTGTTTGACATTGAACAAGATGATGTTCACTTCAAAATGTATTCAAAGAAATTGAGAGAAGAGATTGCAAACACTTTGTCACATGAAAATGTAACTTATGACGTAAAATTTTCTATTATGGAAAATATTGCATCTAAACCAAACAGTGAGGATCCAATAATCAAGGTCTAATAAAAAATGCTGGCAATTTTTAATTCTTAATACTTTTTCATATAATAGCTTCTTAATATTTTATTAAAATCTGTACATTATTAAAAAGACAAATTTAAACTTGTTTATAAAATATGTTTTAGATTGAAGTTATATCTAAAATCAATAGTAATGAAAACGGTATTGAAAAATCCATTTATAAAGGAATATTATTATCCTGGAGTTTTACACAGACTAAATTAAATATTCAAAATGCTATAAGATTACCTCTTTTACTGTGTCGTGGCACTAGTAGCTGTATGAACGCAGTGCATACTATCATCGGTCGTATGTTTGACTGCTTGATAGTTACATTACCAGCTAATGAGGATGATTTACGTTGGCTGGTTCCAATTATAATTACAGCTACTAACAAAGATGAGTCAATAGTTTTTGGTGAAGTACAAATGGAATACACAGTGCCAGGATTACCAGTTACAGATGTCATTAAAGTTAAATTTCATAGTTCAAACTTGAAAGAGATATTATCAGTGTACGTAGGTTAACGGTTAATTAAGCAAAAATATTCAATATTATTTATAACATATATTTTATACTGGTAATCATTAATTTACAGCATTGCTGAAGATCAAGATGATAGAGTTAATGTATTTCTTGATTATGAGCACATAAAAATGTTTCATGAAGTTTTACATAAGCAAATGTTAATGATAGGAGGTTTGCATTTAGGATTTTGTACATTGCACAGGATTAATTTACCTGGAGTAACAGTAATGGAGAATAGAGTGAGTATTTACATTGTTTTTCTTTTTTCTCTCATTTTACATTGAAATTATATTAGAATATTTTTTCTTTTTTTAGATGAAGGTGACAAATGTAGACATTATGAATAATATATTGTTATATTTTAGTGACAAAGCTTTTGATATATTTCATACAGTGCATATTGATATATGATGTATTCTTATTTTAATGTCATGTAATACACATAGTTTAAATACAGTAATATATCTTCATTGCAGAAATAATTATTTACATTGTCATTATTATAAAAAAAATAAGTACATTTTAATTTTGTATCACTATTACTACACAAGATATTTAGTTTGAGATCACTACAAATCGCTATAACAAATAATTTTCAACTTTTAAACAATAGCTTCTATTTCCATCTGTAAAATTAAAAAGAATATATTAAGCCAAAAGTTAATATACATGTAAAATTAATATTCACGATGTAACACTGCAAGGACTTACGGAATTAGTATCACTCTTTGTAATATCCCGTAGATTTTTCTTGAATTTTACTCTTTGCACGTGATGTTCAAAACTTATGTAATTATCTGGTTTCTCGTCAAATGGTGAAGGTACAGATATACCAAGTACTTCAGATAACATAAAAGGTTTTAACCATGTCACAAGTGGGGTAAGTCCATAAGTATATAATGCTTCACGATGATAAAATAGCAACCCATCCAGAGGTTGTTCACCATCAAGATTTGTCAAGGCTGAATTAATGTCTGCGTTACAATTAATTTTTGGTAGAGTTAAAATAGGATATTTATTTATATCCGTATTACGTTCGTTGAGTTCTGGTATTTCCTGAAACTTACTATTGATCCAGAAGAACCTGAACTCGGCCTAAAATAAAATATCACATGTATATATAAAATAATATAAATATATAAAAGTATATTTATTACTTTTTGCTTATGTATTCTAATTTATATCAATTATTTTACAAATACAAATTGATTTAATAATTTATATGTGCAATATATATGTATTACCTGACAATTCGTAAATGGCAATAAACTCCAATATAATACATCTAATATATAAAAAAGTTTTCGATTTTTTATCCATAGACAATCTACAGCAGCAGAATGATGAAAGTCACCATCAGGATTTCCACCTGGAAGTGCTGAAGGAAAGACACCATGCAGATCACCCTTTCTAGAATATGCCTTTGTTTCACCCTGATTTACAAAGTTATTAAAATAGTTATACGTTAATAATAAAGATATCTTGTTTGATAACAAATAAATATAAACAAAGACGAGTTATTACCCAGCCTGAGATCAGTCTAACTCGTTTTCCTACTGGACATGGAACCATAATCCAATTTTCAGTGAAATCTTGCGGCACATCTAGCATCCATTCCGATAGCATCATTCGACTTGTTTTGGATTCATTTGGAGATATCTTATAATACGATGAGGCATACTCTTCTATTTCCATATATTCCTCATCCATATGTTCTTCTGCATCCATATATTCTTCCTTACCTATATAATTTTCCTCTTCTTCATTTTTTGACGTAGTACCAAACTCTTGTAATATACCACGTGCATCATTGAATGTTTCATCTCTATGTCTATAAGAATCATAAAATAGCATATTTGTATAAAAAATAATAGAATGTGAAAGAACGAATTGATGGAGAGAAATTGTTGGAATAATTGTTAAAATAAAAATATGATAAAAAGCTAGTAAAAATTAAATGATATACAAGTTTTTCAATATCATTTTTCAATAGATATCAAAGACTTAGTCATTTTGTCAAAAATACTCAATGAATATCAATCATCGACAAATGACTGTCCTACTGATAAGCCTCAATAATTATATTTAGTTACAGGTGTCTGTAATTAGTAATAATAATAGATATAGCTAATAACATTAAACATTTTTACTTCCTCTTCAATGGCTATAAAAACAAATACTTTAAATGAATAAATTATTAAATATTTTTCAATATCCTTATTAAGTTTAAATTTTTTATTAACATTTATTACTAATGTTTTCATTAATGTATACAAAATAATTGTTGAACATATGTATATTATCATAAGCATATTAATTTTTGAATAACATAAGATACACATTTAACTTAACAGTAAGATACTTTCTATATAAGTAATCTGTTATACATACTTCTTCTGATACTCCAATAACAATCTGCGTCTTTCTTCTTGAGGCGTCCTATCGTCAAGTTCTAATTTAAAATTATCTCTTCTTATGCGATGTTTGTAGAACTGCCTACGGATGGTTTCCCTTGGGTTACAATCATTTTTGTTATTGTTTGTTTTATTACTTTTGTCATCATTTATATTATCACTTTTGTCATTGTTTAAATTATCGCTTTCATCATTGTTTAAATTATAGCTTTTGTCATTGTTTACATTGTTAGCACTGAGACACTGTGTCTCTTGATTACTTTTATCATTGGTTTCATTATCGCTTTTATTATTACTTGACAATTCTGCCATTTCTGCTGCTGTATACTGAATACCTGAAACAATAATACTTTCTTGGATCTATTATCTGTACATTATCTCTATGATCTGTATATCATCTCTATTTGAACTAATGTATATATACTTTTGGAATTTAAAGTGAAATAGATATAAAAGAAATAGAATAAATATTTGATATTTATTCCATATTCTAGGGTTTTGTCCGTTTTCAGCTCCATGCGCTATAAGCTTTTATCCTATCATTATTGCTCGGTACTTGCAGAAAAAAGATAGAACGAAGCTTACAGCGTGTGAAAAATGAAGGCAGTCTAAACTACCTACCTACCATTAGAATGACTAGAACTTTCTTTTCTTTGCTACTTTATTTGTGCATTTTTATCATACAAAGGTATGCAGAACAGAGATGTCTTTGAATCTGTCTGTCCTATAGCCAATTATAGGCTTGAAAAATTTGTATAAATCGCACAAATAAATAGCAACTTTTCTCGTTTTTAAAAAAGAAAGGTCCAATGCAGTCTTATGAGGAACAAAAAAACAGATCTTCTGTTTCGAGTTTCGACACTCAATATAAACTGTTACGGCGACAAATTTGTAACTTTTTAAGAAAATAATTAACAAAATAAAATGTATCTTTTTAATTATTTATTAATATAATTAAGAAAGTGAGTAAACTCAGAATACAACTGAATAAAAATACAATTTCTGTTTATACTATCCTTAAAATCATAAAAAATTTTTGAAAATAATTAAAACTATCAAAAATTATAAAAATATCAATAAATATCGTGCGCATTTTACAATATTATTTACAATAGAAGTGACAATACCTTTGTGTAAAATGTAAGTAAAATATTATCGATTGTTAAAGTATAGGTGTTCAAATTTTCTAACACGTGTAGCTTTTTGTTATTTTCGGTTTAATATTTTTCTTAACACGTGTGTACATTCTTACTCTACGATTCCAGAAACCACCACAAACACACAGAGAAATCTAAAAAAATCTGACTCTGAGACCTAGTAATCCTAGTATATATATTATTATATACTGTGTGAGACCAGTCACAAGGTCTGTTCTTTTTGGTTGAACTTTTGCACCAGTTCATCATTTTTCCTTTTCTCTTCTTCTGGAGAAAAAAGGAAGAAATATGAACTGGTGCAAAAGTACAGTCAAAAGAACAGATCTAGGGAGTGCGTGCTCGACTCGAAACCCTAAACTATGAAATCCATCAATCGTCTGTTAGTCAGCCATTTTTAGTACCATTGAATGAATGTTATGATTGGCTGACAATCAGCTAATCAGAATGCGGCACACCGGTTGCGCTTCTCTGATATCTAGGACTCTACCCCAAACATATTAGCGCACTAACGTCCACTCTTGGAAACCAGATGTCAAATTTGGATAAAATTCTTATTTTTTGTTTACTTCGCAATCTTCGCATAACTAAAACAGTTGGTATGTCAGGCTTCTTCAATTTCTACTGAGTCTTCGGAACTGGACAAGAAAAGTGATCTATATAGATATAGATTAATGTAGTTCGCGACTTTCTTTCAGTGAGATCAATTGTTAAGATATTGTCATTATATTATTGTTAATTTAGGAATTATATAGTTACGAAAAAAGAAATACAATTATGCCTACTTATGAAATGCCTCTATTGTTGCGAATCATGAAAAAGGTATCGTTTAGTAACGAATTATATTTTTACAGTTATAGGTTATATTTTTTCACATCTTCAGAGATTTGTACACCAATAAATATTACCATAATCGTATGCATGATATAATATGTTATCTCATTAATTAATTATTATTCATTTGTAAAATTGTTATTTAAACGAAAATTTGATATATATTTGTAGCCGGAAATGGTAGCAGCCTTAAAGAGAACAGCTGAAACAATATTTAATACTGGTGGTTTTATCAGAAAAATAGAAAATTGTGGAGTGATACCACTTCCATGCAAAACTAATACACATGGCCATGTTCATCGTGAAGCTAAGTAAGATTATACTTATAATTACAACATAATTAAATTTTTCCTTAATTGAAACTAAATACAAAATTGATATACATTTTATTTTTTCATTATTATATATTCTAACAATAATAAATATATCTGTACATATTTCACTTTATATATTTCGTATATATATTTCTAGCCATTTTTTTATATATTTTGATGTACCACCAGAAGAAGTAGATAAAATCTTAGATAAATATAACAGAGATATTGATATTGTTAAATTAAGCATATTCAAACAACAGAAACTACCTGACAAAAAATGTACGTTTCATCAAGAGATGTTACCACCACCTTATAGGTATATTTCATAATTCTGCTTTACATTATTTATGACATAATTTGTGATTGTTTACAATCTTCTATTTTTTATTTGTGTAGGCCTAGTGTCCAGAAACTTATGGAAAAAGCAAAGAAGCAGAATTATAATAAACGCGAATTTAAATACAACAGTGGATTGGATTATTATCCTTTTAATAAATAATTGAATGTTTAGATGTTGTATTTCTTTTATTGTAATATATCACACATTCATATTAAAATAAAATATTTTAGAAAAGTCATTTATATATTAAATATTCTGAAAAGATTAGTTAATTTGACTTACAGGGTAGAAGAAAATTAAAAGTGTAACATACAATTGTACTTCATCATAAGTAACATTTAATATAAAAATCACTTATTGATGACTTTTATTAACTCATATCATCAGCATATTATGAAAAATTATTTTTCTAACCATCAATATATATTTGTACAAAATACTTAATATATAATTATACATATATAATTATTATTTTTCATCAAACATAAATTTCTAGAGTGATTTGATTGACTTCAAGATATTCAATCGTAATGACAATGGCGCAGTTAGCCAGTAACTTCCTTCGTTGTACAATATACTTTGAAACGTTCAACAATTATAGTGGTTGTCCGAGCTAATGCTAACGCACAATATTCTTTGTTCCTTTGTATTGTGTAAGAATGTTTGTGTATTTTCTATCCTGAGAGCTACACAGTCGCATTTATAGTCATGAAATACAATAGCTATAATCGATACAGACGTACTAGTAACGTATGTATATTTTATGTGTAAGTAAAAAAGATATATTTGAATTGTCATATAATCAAGAAACGGAATATAAAAAATATTATGTACTTCTCGGAGTCCTCACTCCAATGTATTAAGTATGACATCATATATCGATTCTGAATTATTACATGATGCATTTCAAGTAAAAGTAATAACAAGAAATTAAATTAAATAGTTTATATCAATACAAAACTTAGATACAATTTAATTCTTGGATGCATGGCATTTTCTAATAAAAATTAGCAAAAGCTTGATACAAAATTATTTGATAAATTTTGAATTGAATGGACTGAGTATCAAAACATAACTTAATCTTTTTTTAAAATTATTTAAAAGAAGGGGAAAATATGATTGATGATAATAATAATAATTTTAAAAAAACATGTATAAATCGCCGTTTTATGCATCCAAGAATTAAGTCACCTTTTTCGTAAGTTACGTATATACATATATGTATATGTATATAACTTACGAAAAGTATATGTATATATATGTATATATATATATACACATATACCTTGTATTATTTTTTTATTTGAAGAATTTTATGTCTCATCTTTATTATCCTCTGTTGTGATGAGGATACACATCGTTCAGTATACTTTTTATTTTGGACCTCGTTAACATCTATTATGCATTACGCTACATCTAAAGGAGTACTTGTACGAGAATAAAGTCGGAAGAGAGGTGAGAACAGAATGATTTTCTCAACGCAAATGCGGAGGTGGATGTTTACATGTGTCTTGTGTTCCCGAAACTAATGCCGCTTTGATTAGCACCTTTATTGCTGCCATATTGTAGACTTATTACGCCCTGTCCGGCCCTTAGTTGTTCCTCGGTGAAATTGCGTACATTTTTATCTGCTTCTTTAGGACCGATGCTTGGTTTGCCGTAGTTACCCGCCTGTAAAAATAAATGTTATAGAATAACGGAATTTTCGAGACGTTATAAATTAAAAGACAAAATTATCATGCATCAGAACGCTTGATAGTAAAGAACGACATATATAAATATTAATAACGAATTTATTTGTAGAGATGTAAATATCTAATAACAATGAAAGATAATGAATATTCGTATCAGGAAGCTGAGATCTTTCTGTGTTACGAACATATAATGATTTAACGTTTAATATATCTATGATTGAGAATGATTAAAATACATCGTATAGAAAAATTTATTCTTATTATTCTCAAATAAATTAAATTATACGCATTAGTTGATTTTATGCTCTCTAATCAAAATTTGATTGTATATTATTTTTGTGAATTCATTAACAGTTGATATTAAGTACGACTAAGTTTTAAATATGTATTAAATAAAATTTCTTGCTAGTAAATTAAATAGCAAACTTCTGATATGTATTACTAATCTTAAGATTTAATTTGTAAGAAAAAAAATTTTTATTTTCACATTTTTATTTTACAATACAATCTAAGATATTTGACATTTCTGCAGTTAATAAAGAAATTATTGTACATCAAAATTTCAATCACCCGGTATATCTATATTTACGGAATGGAACCGTACCTTCCTACCAAGAGATTGTAAGCAAATAACAACGGAATTTAGATTCTGTCTTTCCCAGAGGTCTACGGTCTGGAAGGTCTCTTGCGGCGGAACACCTAATGATTTCGCAGCCTCTAGGAAGGCATTTATATTCTCCATGCATTTAAAGGCCAGCGATGTCTTATTAATTTTCTTCACCGAGCCCTCCTTGATATCATTCACCAGTCTAACAAAAACAAAATATGATTAGCAAAAGCATTTTTCTCGCTGTATATGCTTTCGGTGTTCCTTAATCCAACCAGCGTCAGTTTTCAGATTTTTTTTTCAAATACCTGCAAAGTAAGATGCCATCTTTCAAAATCTCATAGAAGTTGTCCATGTCCCCGTTGGTGTTTATATTCTCGCCAGTGATCGTCTTGATCCACTCCAGACATTCTTGCGCGAGTTCTTCGCTATACTTGCTATTGATCTGTAAACATAAAGAAATTTGTACATTATCCTCTTACGAGTGAAAGCGCGATAGCAAAGGTGCCGTTGCACTTTCGAATTCTCGGTCGCGGAGTACAGTGTCAATGCTTCGGTATTATACGGAGAGCCGGTTATTAATTATGTGATATTCCATGGTACCAAGTAATGCATCCTGTAGGGACTGTGACAAGGGCATTACCAGAGTCACTGACCTAATCTGTTACAGCATCAGGTCATTGTTTCTCCGATTTTTTTCTCGTAAATACAGACATCAATTTTAGGAAATGCGCAAAAAGAAAAAAGTGCAAAAAGTGAGCGAAGGTAAGCAATTTTTTCATAATTATTAGGAATAATTTCTATATTACAAAAGAGATGAAAATTTATCGCATACAACAACACGATTAACACTAGAATTACCAAAGTAGTCGAAATAACTGATCAATAATTTTTTTCAAATTCATAATGGGACAGTTCCAGAGATTTTTTATGATTTTTGTTACAATATATGTAAATCAATTAATTTATGATATGTTTCTCTCATTTTCTTCCTTTTTAACAAAAATACATATATTTAAATAATATAGATGTATGTTAATCGTTGATAGTGTTAAGAAAATAATAAATAATATTTTTTTAATTATATAAAAGCACTTTTTTAGGTATTGAAAGGTAATTTTACTACAGAATCCATCATTAAATTTTAATTAATGAATTAAAACTTTATGTAATATATGTATATATAAAAGGGAGGTGCAACAATTACGTATTTCTATCCGGGCGGATGATTATCCGCTTTTATGGACGATTGCCTAAAAAGGAGAGGTTTCGAAGCATAGTCTGTTGGCATTCATCTTTCTACAGTATGCATATTCCGTTAGATATACGGTGCCTCGGATCGTGACGTACTTCGAGGAACCCATCAGTCATATGAAGGGTGTTCTACCACACCGCGCCGCACTTTTCTTCACTTGTAGATATAAGTAATAAGTTTTCACATGCAATTAGATAATTTTCTAGAAGAAAAGCTCTCTTCTTTTCTCAATGTTTTAACATCCTAATTTCACATTTTAAAAACTAATATTAAAATTTATATTCACAATATATTTAATAATGAAATAAAAAAAATTTATTTATCTGTATTTTCAAAGTTTAATTTTTAGATAATCTTCGTGTGCAATCATTTATAATATAATACTTATTAGTTATTTCAACAATTTTAGGATGAAGTGACGTTGAATTAATAGTATGCAGAATATCTTGTATACACTGCATCTTGGTAAGCGCGTTTAATTATAATAATATACTGTTCAGTCCTCCTCTGGCGACTGGTATCCATGCGAAAGTGTTTTTATAGCGGATGTAGTTTCAGATTTTCGGTGCGTCACTGTATGTAAAATGAATCGATACCAGCCCAAAACTATTTCTGCGGTGTTTCTTCTGAAAACACTGTCGCCCATAAAGAGTATATAGATAAACGTAATGTATAACATATTCTGATATATCCCATGTAAAGGGATCACATCGCTCGAATTATTAAAAATTAAAACTTCATGTAATAGTTTTTTATTTTTTGCAAAAAGTAATTATATAGCGATATATTGTCACGTATAAGTAGTTAATAAATTTATTAAGGCTGTGGACAAAAAATGTAAACAGAAAGACATAAGCAGTAAGCAACATTTTGGATTGGTCACTGCTTACACTATTGCTTTATAGTCTTTAATGTGATTGATCGATTCGCTTACTACCTTACGTTTTTCTGTACGCTTTTACGGTGCATCCAACGCCGTATACAGATCACGAAGTCGGCGAATGCCGTGGACAATGCCGTGACACGAATCTCGTGCAGAGTATCCTCATACTCGTTTACTTTCACCTCAGACTGCCAAGGAATTAATTGGCATTCAACTTGCTTGTTCAAAACTTCCTTATACGTACATGTTAAGTCATTTAACGATTTCAACAGTTTCACCGACAGCTTCTCGGAGACAAGGATACTGTATAAATGGAGTATCTATTACATTAAGCAAATTTCAATCTTACATATATAATCGTATTCTGTAAAATTTCCTCTTTGTTAAATTTAATTTTTTAAAATGTTTTATATAAATGTTAATAAAATATCTAATGGTATACATTTTTTTTTGGCTCTCAGACCTGTATTGACTTTTTAAAATTATTGAAAATGAAAAGCTTTATTTAATGCAATTTTAAAACTTTAATTGCACAAAAAAACCGTTATACGTACAATTCCGTTAAAGTCTACACGCGGTCGTTTACTTTTGTATGCGTCCCGCATAGTTGCACATTCCTCGATTATCAGAGTGCTTTCTTTTGAAGAGTTGCTCGTTGCGATACTGTAGTCACAATGTGAAACGCCATCGCTCCTATATTTAGGTATTAAGTAAGCGCACGATAATTTCATTAACGTGAAAAGAGAGTGACAAGCGAGGA